AGTCACCACAATATTTTAAATTAAGCAATTTTTTTCTGGAAAAATCTATTATACATGCAAATATAACGAATTTAATTAAGTGGCTTACAGTATAATCACAGTGTCCTTGTTAAATTTTTTATCTTGAACTGTACTGGAGCAATTTGGGGAAACAACATCTTCACTATCAGAAGATAAATCAATATACTGTATTCCTCTTTGATTCTTGAAATATGATATACTTGCTTTTCTTTCATTATCTGGAGTTTCTGGAACACTAGAATCTTCTGCAAAAGAATAAGAAGGAGAAAGACATGTTGAGCAACCTGAAAATAAATTTGTTTTTGAAAATCACAATCATGCTAAAAATCTCAAACTTTACTCATTGTTTACAATCTAAAACTCAAAATTTCTACCATTTTTTTAAAGAAAAAAATTAATAGTCAACCAGGGCTGGTAGTAAATGATTTTGTTTCATAGGTTACTTACTAGTAAGACCTTAGTTGAAACTGCAAAAGAGACATAGGTTTGTGTTTTATGTGCTAATCCTTTTCCTTGTGCTTTTGTTTCCTGGTATTCTGTTCTTGTCTGAGAGCATGGACACCAGAGCCCAAAAGATTCCAATCTTATCTCTTAATCTTGTTACTTAATCTCTTTAAACCTTAGTCTCATCTGTAAAACATAGATGCTAATAATCAAGAGCTAATATGCATATAAATCAGATGATATATGTAAAGCACTTAGTTCAGTAACTGGCACACAGCCAGCATCCCATAAACATTAGCTCTTGCACAATTGTTGGTGTATGGGCTCGACTGTGTCCCCTCCCCATTATTCATGTCTTAAAGTCCCAACCACCAACATCTCAAAATGTATTTGGAGACAGGCCTCTAAAGAGGTAATTAAGGTTAAATGAGGTCATATGAGTGGGCCCTATTCTAATCAGACTGTATTTAGAGATAGGGCTTTCAAAGTGATTAAGTTAAAAGGAGGCCTACAGGGTGGGCTCTTAGTCCAATATGACTGGTATCCTTATAAAAAGAGGGAGAGACACTAGGGATACAAAAGGAAGAAAGGCCATGCCAGGACAAGGCAGGAAAGAGGTCACCTTACAAGCCAAGGAGAAAGACTTTTAAGAAGAGACCAAAAATGCTTGCTTTTGAGCTTCTAGCTTCCAGAATTGTGAGAAAATAAATTTCTGTTGCTTATGTCAGCCAGTATGTGGTATTTTGTTATGGCAGTCCTAGAAAACTAAACAGTATCATGTGTCTGTGCAAAACAGGTCAGTGAAGTATTATAATAAGATTTCTTCTCTCCAAGGGGTGAGAGTTCCAAAATTTTTCTCCCTTCTCCCAATAACACTACCATTTCCCCTCATATATTTTAGGAAGAGATCAGACCTATGGAAGTCATATTAAAGCAAAAACGAGTCTAGTGAATTAATTTTAAAAAGCAATGACCAGATGAATCTTTAGTTCAAAGGTAAAAAATACGGCTGCCATTCTTTTCGAGGTTCATTATCCAGTCCTCAAGTATAATAAACATTTAACCCTCACAATAACCTTGAGAGACACATAATAGTATATCACTATTTTATTGATAAACTAAGGTTAAAAGAGAAAAGGCAACAAAATCA